CGGGTGCACTATTCTGAGGATGATGAAGATGATGACGGTGATGAGGAGGAGGAGGAGGAGGAGGAGGATGCAGATGCATTTATATAACATTTTCCTAGTTGTTTGTAAAAGTTAACATTATCTATTCTTATAATTATTATTTTAAGTTCTTAGAATTTGACATTATATTTTTAGTTTTTATAATTTTTATTTTAAGTTGTAATTAGTGGGCATACGAAAATTAAATACAAGTTCACATTTAAATGGGAAAACTAAATACGAAAATTAGAATCCGAAAATTAAATAAATGGGAAAAACATAGCAATAACAATAGAAGGTCACATAGAAAAGGCAACTAGATTGTTCCACTGCTGCACCCGGTCATGATATAGCGCATCCCAGCCCTCTACGCTTGCTGTACGAATGGTGTACCACGTTGGTATGATCGGTGGGACCGGAAAATCGGGTGACAGGTCCAGTCGGATGAAATGTCTGTATGACGGCCCCAGAAATCCAATAGCAACCTCTCTTACCGGTCTGGTGACGGTCTCACGCGAACACCAAGGCAGAACCGTGGTACATGGATAGTAAGCTCCACCATGCAAACCAAGGCCGAAATGCATCACTGCACACTTGTAGATGTTTGCAACGGCGAAGAGATCAAGTGGCGCGTCGAACCAATGATTTTGACCGCAACGTCCTCCTCCCCACCGGATACGCTGCAGAGACCTATCCAAGTCCTGTCCGTACACGTGGCGATAAACAACTCGGTTTGAGGCGATTTCACTGTACATCAACTGACGCACTAAACCGTAGTTGTCTTCACCCATCTGAAACACATCAGCCACAACCCGAAATCCGCAGTTACCATCTGCAACCACATCATTCCACCCGTCCAGGAACGGCATCATGATGTTAGGGATCCTGTCTTTATATGGAAAATGTTCAATGTCCATTCTACCTGTTGCACACATCAAAAAACACAATTAACAAGTCAGCAGAAAACTAAACAAACACTCTAAAAAGTAAATTAAACTAAAGTACCGTACCGGTGCCGGCCATATTCACCGACGAAGAAGTTTGACTACCACTTGATGACGATGTACGACCACGGCCACGACCACGACCACGACCACGAATATACTCAAACGCACTCCTTTCCCGCCGTGGTTGTCGGCCCCGTGGTCGCTCGACCCCCTCAGGTTCCTCATGATCCAAGCACGACGAGTTGAACATGTCATGAAGTACGTGGGTAGCACTACGAATGATTGAAGGGTGGCTGGAGGACACTTGGTCAAACATCGAACGAAACTGCTCCAACTCCTCCTGTTCACGGTTGACTGTCTGTGGAATAGCATGCTCTCCGATAACGAGCGTCCGCCAGAATGGATGAACCTGATCAACATGTAATGACGCCCTATCTTGCGTAATTACGCGGTGAATGGTGCATGCACAAGGTAGTCCATGAGTCACCGATAAAGCACATCCGCACCGAATAGCCACTTCATCACCCAACTCCCTCATCCTGGTGTGCTCGCTCAGAATCAACCCCAAGCAGTAGTGTGACACACGACCATGGAGAATCTTAAATATGAAATGGCTATACATCGTGCCATGTCGCCGTCTGGAGTCCTCGAGAGAGTTCTTGATGCCGTTCCTCTGAGTATCAATAGCCTTGTTTATTCTCTCGAACAGTGTATCCAGAGCAGAGGTGGAAGAATCAATCCAGTCCTTCAGAGCTCTATGAGCGCTCTCAACTCTACATGTAGTAGTGTTTCCAAAATGAAGAACTTGGTTTGTCCAATATTTGACAAACTTTTCCCTCTGAGGCACCCACTGCTGCATCACATAGTCTACGATTGCCGAGCACCATTGGTATGCATCCTTGAAGTTATCCAAGGCTCGGTCGTACTCTGCCTCCGTAGTAGCTTGCAGGATCTTCCGCCACTTACCATTTACCAATCTCTCTGCTGAATCTAAGTTCTTGTTGAAAAGGTTGTAGGCTTTGACTTTCACGCAGTTGTTGATGTGCCATGTGCACAGTAAATGGCTCGACTCCGGAAACAGCTCCGCTATAGGGGCAAAGAGACCTCCCTCACAATCGCTGACGATGGCCGATGGCTGAACACTTGGGCCGATGTAATTTCTCAACTTCTCCAACACCCAACGGTAACTCGCAACCGTCTCATCCTTCATAACTGCATAACCAATCAAAAAGTTTTGGTTCGTTGGAGTCATCCCAACCATCTCAACCAGTGGAAACTTATCATTTCCGTCTCCACCATAATCCTGCAACAATAACATATAAATATAATCACATAAGATTAGATTAAATTAATACATTTGACACAACATTAGCACAAAAGCAAAAACAATAATAAAATATAAACAACAAACAAAGAAATAAAAAACATAAACAAAAAGTATTCAAAAAAAAAAAAAAAAAACAAAACACAAAAATAAAAAACATAAACAAAACTTTAGATTAAATAAAAAATAAAAACAAAAAAAAAACATAAACATAAAAAACATAGCGATCAAAAACACAAAAATCAAACACAAAAATTTACATTACATTTTAAAACAATTAAAAACAAAACAAAATAAAACCAAAAAAAAACGAAAAAAAATTTTAACACAAAAAAAAAAAAAAAATAAACAAATTTTAAATTAAATTTAAAAAAAAAAAAAATGCAAATGCAGTGGCGCCTAGCCAGGACGCCGCCACCGTGGCGATGGCGTCTAGCCAGGACGCCGCCACCGTGGCGATGGCGCCTGGCCAGGACGCCGCTTTCATGGTGGCGGCGTCTTGGCCAGACGCCGATGCCACGGTGGCGGCGTCCTGGCCAGGCGCCATCGCCACGGTGGCGGCGTCCTGGCTAGGCGCCACCACTACGTTCACGGCGTCCCGGCAGGACGCCAGCCGCCAATTCGTGGTTTTAGATGGCTTCGTACCTCCTTTTCCGGCGTCAACGGCGTCTCTCCGGTGCATCTAGCCGACGTTGAGGGCTCTTCGGTTTCACTCGGCGATCCAGTCCTGCTCCACATTTTTGGTGAGTGAAAATTTTTATTTTCGGTAAAAATTAAAACAAGGGAAATAATGTCAAAATTTTTAAAAAATGTGGGCTTTATGTAGAAAAACGCGGGCGATGTTTAACAAGTCCCTAATTCTTTTGGCCAATATGCATTGTAAAGGAATTGTTTTTCAAGCCATTCAAAAGAAACAAAAATATTTTTGACAAAAGACCGACTTATCGGACAAAAGTACTCTGTATTTCTTATAAACAATATAGAATATCTATTATATACTCTCTCTGTCCTTTTATTTTTACTCCAATTGATTTACTGTGGTTCTCAAAACACGTGTTAAAAAATTTATATATCCATTTTCATACTCTATCACCCCCCGTTGCATAAAAGGCCCTTTAGACCCAACGCAAAATTAATTCCACTTTGAAGGAGAGATGGATCGGTGGATGAGATTCGAACCCGTGACCTCTATATCGCGTTGGTTCTGATACCATGCTGAAGGATCAAGTCAACCAAAAAACTTAAATTGATGGTTGAAATCCAGAAATATGTTTTATATTCTATCAGAAATTTTGACAATGAGGCAAAAAAAAAAAGGGGACAAAGGGATAACAAGTATCGTAATTTCTTACCAAGGATTTCATAATAACTAGTCATATTGAAAAACTCGTAGTCTTGTGAAAATAAGATGACACAATTTTCATTTTTTATTTATAAATTATACTTGTAATTAAATCTAAAAAATCAAAGCATAATAAACAAACCAAAATTGATCACCAACTAATATAAAAGCTAGCACAACTATAACGACTATGTGAACAAAAACATTTGAAGTAAATGTTGACGGAGCGTTTCGAATGGGAAAGCACCGATTCTCTTTTGAAAACCACGGCCCACAACTTTTTAAGGTAAAATTTTTGTTGCTAAGCAAACGTGAGTATAATAAAGTAGACAAATAATCTTCTTTGAAGTTGCAAAAAGATGATTGAGTAGACTTTAAAATTGCAATCTAATTAAAGTAATTATTGATTATCATGATTATAATCATGGCTGTAATCCAACATCAAAGTAGTCTAATTATGTCATAATGCGTTCAAACCTAATACCAACAAAGATACGGTGTTAGGAAAGTATTAAACTAAAAGTAGGTAAAAGAAACAAAGATAGCATGATGAGAATTTTGGTTATGAAATTTTGTTTTCTTCAATTTTGGTTGAAACTTAAATTTAGATTGTTCTACATTGTCTAAATCCACATTCTTTGATTGAATATTGTTCGATGCATAATATAGAGTATACAACAATCAAACCTTTATCTCTTTTATGAAAATTGTAGATATATGACTTGTTTGTATTATCTATATTCATTGTTTTATTACTGATATTCCTATCAATTATATAACCTTTACAATAAAGTCAGACTTATGAAGCTACTCTTCTTTTTTTTTTTTACCTGTTTTGAAGAAATGGAGATTACTCATCTTAGTTTTATTTGATCAATCTATAAATTAATTAAGTGAGATAATGAGACTAAGCATGTCTAAATAATTGTTTAATTGTCCTTTTACATACTCCATAATATTTAATTTGTCAAAATTGAACTTTTTTACACTAGCTCTCATATTAGTACATATCTCAAGATAAAACCACTACATCCGTTACACATTATTTGCAACGACTTGACATGAAGTAGAGAGGAAAAATGTCTAATCATTGCAAAAAATATATAAAAGAAGTAATATAAAACTTTATCCGCTTCGTAGCAATAGTTTTCCTTCCTTTTTCCTCATGTTATACAAGTCTTTTGAGCATTTTTCAACCCTCATTCACCATTAATTTGTGATTGGATATCACTTTTTGACTTATCAGGTTAACCTTTGAAGTTAAGCTCTAAGTCTTAGCACACAATTATTAAAATAACATTTCAAAATTCATATAAATAACTTTATAAAATAAAATCTAATTATGATACATCATCAAGAAATTACACTATACCAAACAATTGAATGAAATTTCAACTAAATTGTCTCTATAACAACCTATCCCATTCTTACACCCTTCCAAATATATATTTCTAAAAACTTGTACATCCTAACTTACACTAATCAAACAATATTTTTTTGGCCTAAAAAAAGCCGCAAAGGATAATAATACCAAGATTATAACCAATTAAACTCGTTGGTATCCGTGCTAATCAAACCCGTCCCTCCCTCGATATAAAAAAATAAAAGAAATTAATTATAAAAAAAATCATGGATCCAAATGAACAGGTTGAACAGAGCATCTTGATGAACTACTTCTTCCATAACCAAATGAAAAGATAGATCTTCTAACTTTGCTGTTACTACTACTACTACTTACCTCACTTACTTCCATATTACTCCTACAACATTCTCGAATTTCGAAGCAATATTCTCTCTCCTTTGACAAATCCATTGAAATTGACCTTCTTATTGGTTGAACCACCTCAAATTCTTCGTCTTTCTTTCTCATATCAATCAATTCATCTCCCAAACTATAAACATGCCCCAATTTCTTCCTCCCTTTTCTTGATTCTCCACTAGTTACCAATCTGGGTTCATCCAAATTATTCCCCTGAATCTCAATCACCACAAAATCATCATCATCATCAGTATCATTATCGTTATCGCTATCGTTGTCGTCGTCGTTAGAAGGTTTCTGGGGTTGAAATGGTGGAGGAAAATGAATCAAATGTTGTTGAGTATTGTACAAAATAGAAGCAGGGGAAATCCCTGATCTACAAAGCGGACAATTAGCGTTACTTTGTAACCAAACATCAATACAGTCGATATGAAACGCGTGACAACAATACGGAATAACTCGTAACCTCTCGCCCTCCTCAAATTCGCTGAGACAAACCGAGCACTCGTACGAGGCTGCGGGTTCAACTGATGTTACAATATCGTGCTCATGCTGCTTACGCTCTGTAACCAGCTTCCGAAACTCTATGACGGGTATCGATCGGATGAGGGCCTCGTCGAGTCCTTTTTGGACGGCAGTGTTGCCGTCCGGGGATAGTGTAGGAGTCGTCAATGAAGCTGTATCAGTACTAGGGTCTCTAACGCGTGAGAAGAAGCGATTGAAAATATCAACTCTATGCCAAGTTAAGCAGCATTTGATGACGAAAATGTAGTAGCTGAATAGGAGCAATGCGATTGCTAGAATGCCGATCACGGCAATTGCGATGACCGGGAAACTGTTGTTTCCCGGGTGGTGAATGTGGAGGACTGGTGGCGAAGGCGATAGAGATAGCGGAGGCGGAGGCGGTGGCTCCATAGAATGCTGGTGTAATGTAGTAAGGGTGGTTTGTGATGTTAGTGTGTTACATGAATATAATTTGGTTGAATGGTGGGAGAAAACAGGGGAGGAGAGAGAAAAACAGGGGAGGTAGGAAGAAGGAAAAAGAGGGGTGGAAGAGGTTTATAAAAGAGTGTGGAGGAAAAAAAAAAGAGTGATGGGTACAAGTATCCAAATAGAGGGAGTAGTAGTAGGAGTAGTTGGTTTGATTGTTGAAATTTCTGGGCAGCCAGCCAACCATCAGAAATTTTGGCAGAAATTTATCATTTGTTTAGTAGTAGTACCATGTACCATTATTCTACTATTTGGTCTTCTTTTTCAAGAAGAAAAAAAAAATACAAATTGCAATTGACTAAAGTCTAGAGTGATCATTGTTAATCTTAAATAGATTGACTAAATCTTAACCCTTGGCTTGTGTTTTTTTTGCCTAATATTTGAGAATCAGCACGTCTCACAAGTTAAATGAGCTCAGCTCCCCCGGCTCTTGGATAAATGTAATTGGTGAGTTTCTAACTCGTGCTTTTAAAGTCACAAAGTGAGTTTTCCATCAATTCTACCAAACATACTTGGTTAAAAAAAAATTATCAATACATACTCTATTGTTATGTGAACAAAATATTAGGACATGTGTTTTGATTCAATACTCACTCGAGTATTAATGTAAATACGGAGTAGCATATATAATACTTCTAAGATTATAGAGTGCTCCGTATCAAATGACACTAGTATCAGAAAATTCGTATAAAGATTCAATCAATTAAACTTAATTTCAAGCTTTATTTTTTTGGTGTTTAGAGAGCCACAAGGGTGGGAGTGAAAAACGATCGCAGAATCTCTTGAAATCGGGTGGGAAGCTCTAACCACTTGAGTTATCCCTCACTCTCGATTTCAAACTTTATCAACATAATAATTTAGAATATTTTTATACAAGTTCTTGAAAAAAAAAAAGATTTTTTTTTGTATTAATACTACTATTATGATTTTGGTCCAGCCTTCCAGGCGTATTATAAATTCTACTGCACTGTATAGGATTATCCATCAACCGTAATTTCCAAAGTGGAGTATTTCATAGGAAAATTTGCAAATTGCAGCCATTTAAAGTTCGTATTTTGCAAATTGCAGCCATTTAAAATTTTATTTTTGCAAATTGCAGCCCAAAAGTTCGTATAAATTGTAAATTGCAGCTCGATTCAATTTTTTCATCGGTTTACATGTTGAAAAATCTTCGGTTAAGGTTTTAGGGGTCATTTTAGTCCTTAGGGACCCGAATTGAGCTCGGAATCAGCAACAAAATAACGTAAATGTCTCATATTTACGGTTTCCCACAAATCGAAACATTTTTTGTTACGCAAAACGAGATACTTACGTTATTTTTTTGCTAATTCCGAGCTCAATTCGGGCCCTTAAGGGCTAAAATGATCCCTAAAACCTTAGCCAAAGATTTTTCAACATGTAAACCGATGAAAAAATTAAATCGGGCTGCAATTTACAATTTATACGAATTTTTGGGCTGTAATTTGAAAAAAATAAATTAAATACCTGCAATTTGCAAAATACGAATTTTAAATGGCTGCAATTTGCAAATTTTCCTATTTCATAAGTAGATTTCTCGAGTAGTGCGACCATACTCTTTCATTACCACTATTTTAATTTTTTTTTTTTAATGTGTCGACAAAACTGTGATGTAAATGTGTCAACGTATATGAATGCCAAATGACAATTCACCGTCAACAAAGATTGGCTTTTTTTAATTTATGCACTCACGCTCTCATACGTCCACTTACATTCAATATTTTACAAATTTTGTACTACTCTACTTGATTAAAATTGAGATTCAGCAATTTATAAAAATTAAGAAAATTATATAAGTGATGTGCTCTATTACTTTAAACTTTTATTTTCCCTACATTATTCACCTTATAATCCGTATAAATTATCTTACTTCAGAAACATTAAATGTATAATATTCTGATTTTTTTTAATTTTTTATTAATAAATAGAACTAAGAAATAAACAACCAAGCTAATTAAAAAGATCAGAAGGTAAACTGGCCTTGACTAGCTTTAACCGCGAACCAATGAGCAGGAGCAACCAAAGTTTTTTCTGATTAAAGTTAATAAACCAAAGTTTTTCAAATAAAAACTCTCCTCCATGTAATATTACTAGGTAAAAAAAAAATTGTGTTCATTTATCACATTATCCACTTTTATTTCATTTGTTTGGTTACTATTCTTCGATAAAGAGTTTTTCAAATGTGTATAATATTTTATTGATATGTAATAAGGAATATATTACAATTCTTAAACAAATTTTATTTGATCGGATTTAGTTTGGATTAATAATCGGTCGACACAGTCGTGGTTGATAGCTAGTGTGAACAAACATAACAACTAAAGAGCTAGTTGTACAAAATTAATTCTTGCTTGGATCACATTTAGTGGTCTGTACTCCAATCCGTAGAAAAAATATGAATAAAAATTGTGTTTAATTCATAAGTTGACAATGAAGACTGACAGTGATTCTTAAAACTAGCCCTAATTGCATGATAATTGCGGTCTCTATTGCTGAAAGAGGCATCCAATGACACCTGAATTTTGTACTCGTATATTTATTTTGGTTAAATTTTCATGAAAAGCTAATAATAAATGACAATTTTTAATTTGGACCACTAGCAAATTTGGGTGTGACGGCATGACCCATTAGTATATTACTTGTGGAATTGTGGGGAACGACCTTACATACCACTCCTACGTAATTCCCACTATAGTGATTGGAGACAAATTTTTATTTTGTTTCACAATTATTATTGTTTTGTTGCTTTTATTATTTTAGGTTTCCTTTTTGTTTTTGTGATAATGATGATTTAACATTGAAAGGCAATCAAAATCTAATTACATTATATTATATAACTATTTTCCTATCAATTATATTGGGTGGTTAAATGATTGATTACAAAAGTAATGTATAAGTTTTGAATGGAAGTCAATCAAGAGGAAACTTGCAACATAAGTGAGAGCTTGAAAAGAACTAAGGGTTGTTGGGAAAGAAGTAAATAAGTTTGTAATGCGAAAAATCAAACAACATACTTCATTTAGCTTCATTCTTTTATGGTTTCATCATCGATTCTATATAAAGGCACAAACATATATAGGCTATTTGGACATTGAATACATGAGTACGCAATATTTTCCATATAATATGTGTGAATCAATGAATATTTTACTAGCAACTCGGAGTAGTTGGTATAACTAACTAATCACATATGTGCTTAATCTATCCATCCAGCATAGTATTTTAAGTCATAACAAGTCAGCTGTCAGCCTGTCACTTAATTAATAACACTCGTGAAATAGAACATACTTAATGTTTTTAATTGGATGTATGTAGCAAAAGAGTGTTACTTCTCCTTGTTACAATCTCATACTAGCCCATATATTAATTTCACTAGCTAGACATGTTTGGTCGCACAAATTTAGCCTAATGTTTTTCTCCATATATCTTGTAAATCAAGCTTCCACCTCTTTTGGATTATATAATAAAGTATTCTTTGTTTTAAAACTATACTCCATACAGTATTAAACAAATCTTTGAAAGGAAAGGAAGAAGGTGGCACCCCAACAAGTTTGACTATACAATAAAATAGAATAGATCCCTAGATAGCAATCCCTAGGCTATTCTTGTGCCTACCGTTGGAGGTGGTTGTGTTAGAGCAATAAATGTGGAGATCAAATATACGATGTCTACACTCTTTGACTTGGCTAGATTGTCAATAAGCAAACAACTTTCATCATTGTTTAAATATAGTTTCAATTGAATTAAGACTATGTAGCTTGTAACCACCATTTGGGTCCAAAGAGGTGTCCATGACCCAAATGCATGGGAAATCCTTTTTTCTAGGGTTAGTTATGCACTCTCCACATTCATGCACCTATCTTACTATTATCTTCAACTTCCAAACTAAATTTTCATACCTAATTGAACTTTGTATAAATTATATCTAGAGAAACATGCCTAGCTACTTATATAATCTTATTTAAGTTTTATTCTACAAAATTAGGTGCAAGCTATAGGCGGCACAACAAAATTTTTAAGTAAATTGAAATAAACATCGTACCTACCTTAACCAAGGATGAATTAGTCAAGTTATTATAACTTATCACCCATCCATGCATATAATTAAGATTATAGCTTAATAGCTAGGCTTAATACATAGCTTAATTATTGTTTTTATTTTCATGCATATTATGATTATTCCTTTAACAAGTTAAATATTGTACATTCGTACCTGTCATATGTATTGTTTCTGTTTTTGGTCAATTGTTTTTGTATGTTCTAATGCCTATAGTATGCACTTTTTAATTAAACTATGATATAGACCATCCAAGTTTCCTACCTAAAAGCAAGTTTTCTGTTTTAATACTCTATGTCATGATATGGTTTATTATTGTAAGGTGTCATAATCAAGTTAACTACCAAATGATTAAAATTCAATTCTTCTAACTAATTGTCATCCTTGCCACATTATATTTTAATTTCATGCTTCTAGACACTACTTCATATGTATTTGTATCTACTCTTATCTAAATTCTGATCAAGTAGTTTTCGTAACAGTGAGTGGAAAAAATATAATTAGGTCATAAATTATCAATTAAGAAATTTTAGGATAATAGTAACAAATTTATTTTTATTTTTTTTTTGACAAAAGGATAATAGTAACAAACTAACAAAGCTAACAACATACTTCTTTCACAAAAAAAAAAAAAAAAAAAGCTAACAACATACAAAACCAAAAGCAATTTCTAATTCAGTTCTGTATGGCATGGAATGAAAATAGAAGTGACTCCAATAATTTGGTTTAACAATATAATGAGTTTGATTACTTCTTATAAAAAAAATGTGTATGAAATGACTCTATATTAAACTGAAAACATTTTAAAAGTTTGTGTATTACTTCGTATAAATATTCAAAATATGTATAAAATGACTTTTTAGGTAACATTTTAAATTTTGAATACACAAGAGAACACAATACACATAATGATTCCTAGTTCCTACCAATGCCTTTCATTACACATTCAAAATTGCGCTGACCTGAAGGTCTAAAACTCTAAGTCTAGCTATCATGCAATATGTGGGTCAAGTGGTTCCAATCAATTGTAAATTTAGGCATTGGCGGATGCAAGCTTGGTTTTTTACCAAAAAAAATATTTTTTTGATTTTTTTTTTTAAAAAAAATAGGTAATGTAATACTACATAAGTAGATATGATCATCAATAATCATTAATCACTAAACTTGATTATTTAATCTAATTCAAATTGTTACTATGGAGTATAGTATCTATTAATATGATAAATTGGATTGTTCAATTTA